GCACTGTAGGATTGTATTTGTACATGGAGGGTGACGTTGTGGCCGTTACCGGTACAACCTAGTCGCCGCGAGCGCATTTTTTCCGGCTGCACCATACACTAACACCATATCGACACGTTCGGAAATAGTCATAGAAAATATAGTACTAACGTAGAATGAAATGTCCCTTATATTGCCACTAAACCGCGAAACAGCGCCACGTAACGTTTTGGAAGCTTACTACTACTTAGCTCCTAATGAGTAGGCAACACTTTATACTTTGTGAATTGATTACAGCGCCATCTATCGTATGCAAATGACTTCTCACTTATATCCTCTATATATTATTTAAAAATTTTTAAAAGTAAACCCTTATACAAATAGGAATAGTCAAGTGTCAATACTTCTGAGAACAGATTATTTACTTAAACAGAAAATGTAGTGAAAAACTAATATTCAGTACTTTTCTAATTCACTTCTACTTTGATAACGAAACTAGAGGTTTCAGACACGTCATAGTGTTATTGTGATGTGTATTTGTTTTTCCAGTGTGTAACCAGACTTATACATGTAGATGTAGGTCTCTGGCATCCCACTATATTAGGCAAAAGTTTTCAGTATTGACACTTGACTGTCCCTATCGGTACAAGGGTTTATTTTTCCAGTTTTTTTTTCTTCAAACTATGGCAAAATATCCAAATTATAACAAACATTTATAATGCCACAAATAAATACAGACAGTTTCTTCTTATTTATTATTTTATTATATTATAGTATTATTCAAATTTTGACATTTGCCAAGATACTAGTAAATGGTTTTGATAAGGAAATAAAACATTTTTTAATAATTAAGTTTATTTTGTGTCTACAAGGAATTGATTTATACAGAATGTTGTTATATTTGTACTATTAAAACAATTTCTTGTTATGTATTTAATTGTAAGTAAAAACGACAATTTAATTCATTTGCTTCATAAACTTGATAAGTTGGCAAGTAAGCTGTAAAAATATAAAAATTATGCATGAACTGTTATAATAATCTCACTTTCCGGAGAGTATAACCGAATATTTGTGCAATATTGGGTTAAATTCAATAGTTCATATAGTTTGGAACTTTCAAACCATAGAAAACTTAATATTAACACTATATTTTCTATGTCTCAAACTGAATAAAGAAAGCAATTCACCACCATTAAAAATTTTGTAAGCATCTAAGTATCAAAGGTTTCATAAAATATTAGTTGGAGTTTATCATCATACACATAATTATTTTTATCTATATTTAACTTAAATAATATGTAATTACATGTACATTTTATGTGGACTGTTTCTAATCGATTAATACAAGTAACGAGTATGAGTGTTCCATATAATGTTGGTAAATATATGGGTTTGGTTTTTAATAAAACTATATAGCTTAAAACTTGCACATCGTATTCCCAGTATAATATAATAACAAATAGAAAACTCTTAAGCACTAAATAATTATAAACACAATTCTTGCAATACTATAATTTACAATTTTCAGAGGATAACCTAAGAAACCAAAGATAACGAAACTCGAAAGCCAAACTTCAAATACGTGCAAAGTCCAAACTGCATTACCAACTGACCCAAAATTACAGGGTTAGCATTCTCTGCGCCATCTTTTATTTTGGAAGCTAACTAACATGTGACGCCGCCATGACATTATTGTTTTTATTTCATTATTCATATGTTAGATTTCATTCTACGTTAGTATTATATTTTCTATGGAAATAGTAAATGCATTGCTTTCTCGGTTCATTGTAAAACTAATTGATGCGCAAACTAAAAAATTAAGCAAAGTAATAAATAAGAATCTCGTTTTTAATGTAATCGGCACGCTATTCTTATTTTTTACTTCTTTATAAAAATTACACTGTCACTATCGTGGAATTACAAAATAAAAACTTTTGTCTGGAATCTTTCACTTTTAACACTGATGGGTCGATGGACGATGCTTAATATTTAATAATTAAGTGAATAATGAATTCAATACAAATACAAAATCAGTTGTCTCCGCAAATTTTTTGACAATGTAACCTAACCTTCTTTTAGTATTACTAGTATAGTTGTATAACGACTTAAATTATAAGGTTGCATCTCGGGTCGCATAAAAACATTTCCAAAGTTTTTAATAAATAACACAGGGTCGGTCTTCATTTTCGTTGAATAAATGAACTTTAATTTACAAAAAAAAAAACGCGAAGATAAAACTTTATCGTATAAGAGTTTTCTATTACAAATATCATCAGGAGGCTGTAGTTTAATTTTTATAGATTATACATGCCACACCCCTGAGATATTTACAAATATTTATACTTTTAAAAAACTAAAGTTTCATTCTAGTTTAAAGCCAGACTTTTCCCTCAGTGTACACCTTGTCCCCGATTGACAGAAATGCGCCCCGACTACCGCCTTTGTTTCTGTATCACCGCTGTCGGCTCGTACGTATATTATCCCCAATTACTCGCGCAAATTCACGATTCTGCAGCGTAATCATTTATTGATATTTCATAAACCCCCCGTGGGAAATACCTAATCAATTATGTTATTATGTGTGATTTTATGCACGATAGCCGGCAAATTATTCCTATTTTTACGCGCCCGACCGCTAATTACGGCGTGGCACTTAAGTGAGAGGCCCAACGTGTACGTTATGGGCACCTGAATTGGAGGAATTCTCTTCCTTGTGCGGGTTTGGCTAATTGGGCTTGAAAGTTGCGGCGAAGGCGCGAAAAAAACTGCCCCGCAACGAGGGGCATTACCTAATAATAGCTCAGTGATGCTTCCGGGTTTTCATGATGCGGTAATGATACTAACATCGATTCTTTTGTAATAATTTAAATTAATAGTTATTTTTTATATGAGGCAGTAAACTGTGATTTATCGACGATTAAAAGAATCTATTTGGCGTAGGAAATAGCAGGGCAAAACCACAATATGAGATGCTATCGCACAATCCAGTGATTTTTTACTAACACATTTCAACTAAAAACAAATGGTAAAACTATGGAGTGACGTCAGTTGTACCCACCAACAATATTTTACATGAAAAAAAAACACATGCCGCATTCATGCTAACCCATAAATCATATATGCACAGCGAATAACTTTCAGAAAAATATTATTTTTCCGAAAAACGCCGAGACATGTCCATTTTTGATAGACGGGGAACATCTTTTCACACGAACTTCACTGAAAGAAATGCGTTTTATTCTTTATTAGAATTCTATATACCATTATAAGACCATTGTATACTATATGTGACAGTTAAACAGGTGAATATTGGATATAAAACGCGTATTGCTAGCACAGTTGTATAGTGACTATAAACCTTATTCTTTATTAAATTATTGTATAACTAGTATACAACGTTTTTTATACCCTTTACGAAATAATAGCAATAACTGTTATTAAAGTGTTCCATATCGTTATTAGAACATCTAGTACTGGTTATAAGTTTTATAATAATAAATGTATTAAACTGTTGTATACTCTGTATGAGTTAAAAACATATGTCATTAAGTTTTCAGAAATTTTATTGGATAACTGTAATTACAAGCTAAGGTTCTAATGTAAACATACATAAAACATACTTTTAAGCACCAAAAATGATGACAAATCGCTCCCAAAACTGTCCAGTTTATTTTCTTAGCAACGATACACCCGTATTTTCTTGTATTACATGAGAATTTGCACTATAACTTTTCCACCTTAAGAATGAAGCATCCCCAGAAAGGTTGAGCTTCTTTCCATATAATTTTATTTCCTCTGGTTGATTGACTTTATACCCATGCTTTTCTTTGTCACCGTTAACCTTCTGTTCCTCCATCTTATGTAAAACTTAACATCAGCGATTTCTAATAGGACCTACAAAATAATAATTTTTAAGATTTAGACAAGATTATCATTTGAAAAAACAAAACAATTACAAGCCATAAAACAGTTAGATACTTACATAATAATTTTCCATTTCACACAACGCGATATGATCATGTATCCCACAAAACATGTGCATATACTGACCATTTTCATCAAACTAGACGAGTGTAAGTCGATGCACAGCGGGCTATCGGAAATTTTACGATTGTTGTATTTTCTCTTCTTGAGTAAAGATAATAAAGACGTTGTGGTTTTGTGTGTTTATTTTGACCATGATTGAACATCTATGGACAATAAAAGTGGACTGTATAAGATAATTGAGTACCGTTCTGCTTCATGCATAGCATGTTACTGAAATCTTAGAAGGGATGAGCTCGTGCGGCGGACCCTAAATCAGCGGCTGGAATAGCCAGGTTCCTTATTGAGTCGGCGCACGTCGCTCTCGAGTCTGACATATGATTATTATTACAAGACTATGACTATGACTATATAACTTAACAATGATCATAACCGATTATGCACCGAGAGGTGACGATCACTTAACCATTATAAGATGCGTTTTACACGTTAAAAACGGAAACATATTCAGTATAAGAACGAATAATTCTGTTAATACAATTGTTATATACAAATTCGGATACTGGTCTTTATACAACAAATCTTCTCTACTATACAACTGGAATATAAAGTCTATAACACCTAATAATGTATAAGTAATTCATTATAACCTTTATTTCATAGATGCATAAGGTGTATTAAGCACCTTCCAGTTAAACTGATTGAATAATGAGTATGGAGATGATTGCTTTTTTTTAATAAAAGTTGTATATTGGTTATAAAAGTTTTAATATGCGCTATACACATTATTCTAGATAAACAGTTTAATAAGCCCATTTCTTTCAGTGATTCCTGTTACAGACTCTACCCCCGTAGGGAGAGGGGAGGCAACCCCGAAAAACTCTTAATAGGGAAGGAGGTTTTAGGTGACTCATCGTTTGAAAGGTATTCTATACACATTCTTTTATTTCTTAAATTTAACCTATTAGTTTAGGACATAGAAGTTGCTAATAAAAAAACTACTTTTTACAATTTTATTTGCAAACTTTTTTTTCTCCATGGAGTTAGTGGCCAAGTTTGAGAAGACTGGATGTGTTGGTAAAAAAACCGACACATCGAAAGAAAAGAAGCAGTGGATGTCGCAGTTCTTGGCTATGTTGCTATCAATTCCAAAACGAGTAAGAGGCAGCTAAATCTGGTTTTGGACGAGACAAAATTCGCAAAATTTTGAAACATCATACAATATTCACCGTGCACAGGAACTTCATGAAGATGACTTTGACCGCCGACAACAATTTTGAAATAATGAGTGAACGAGCTATTAACAATCTTGCTTTTATTTTTAATACCTGCTTCTCGTTAGAATGTTCTTTTTCTGTTAATGGCACCGTCAATCGTCATAATTGTCTTTATCGGTCCGATTTTGGTCAGACTGGGAGAAGAGGCGTCATAGCATGGCCTGCACGATCGCCGGATTTGTATCCTTTAGACTTTTTCTTGTGGGGACATTTAAACTTCAAAATTTATTTCACTCCACCTACCCCCCTTTACTACGCCAACGCATTGTTAACGAATGCCGGCAAGTTGCTCCGGAAATGTTACAAAATGTGCGTGAATGCTTTCTACAAAACATACAGGGTGTCCGGTAAGTACCTCCTAATCTCTCGGGAGTGTATAGGGGAGGTCAAAATAAAACTAGTCCTTCCTATAATTTTTTTTCCTAATGTGCCCCCTAACGGAGTTATGGGGGGTCAAAGGGGTACCTAGAAATTAACGTTTAGGGTTATAACTTTGAAACCACCCTGTATATTTTAATAAAATTTTCGTACGTTGTATTACACATGGAGCTCTACGATTTGATGCTAAAATCAACTTTTTGCTATTATCAGGTGTCCAGAAACGGACTGGCCCTATCACAATTTTTCTCAAAATTTTGACAGAAGTAATTTTATCAAACTGAAAATATTATTATTAGATACTCTGAAGGTTTTTCTTTAAAAATGGTACTCTTTATTTATTTCGAAAAAATGAACGGTTTGCGAGATAAATCGGTTTTGAAAAAAATTGGTAACAAATACAACAACAATTAAAATTTATTTTTTTACAATAAAATCATTCCCGCTAGTGCCAGCCTACAGATTCACCATAAACATTTACTGGTGGTGAATTAAGGGAATGAATAATGCCGTTTCTTGTAAAATCAACATCTATGACCAAAATACATCTACAAATTATTATTGCTCTTGTCTCCATGGAGTTCTTTTCTATTGTTTTCGTTGTTAGACCCTGTTGATTTTAAAGTACTTGTCAAAGGCGCGTGACAGAATAAAAATTCAATTTTATTGTGGTATTCGTTTTAAGCCGTTAGAAATAACATTTAAAAATGGAAGAATATTCCTGTGCAGAATATGCTGATATGCACCTAATTTATGGGGAAGCATTATGCAACTCCGTGGAGGCAAGAAGACTTTATGAGGAAAGGTTTCCGGGTCGACATTTGCCGAGTCCAAAAACTTTTGAAAGAGTTGATCGTAGTTTAAGAGAAACAGGTAAAAAAAAATAGTGAAAAACGTTAGTGAAACTAATTTCTTCCGAATCCTTTATTTAGGAAGCTTTTTGCCACGCCGTGGTGGAGCAGGAGCCCCGAGGAGAGTACGAGACCCTCATGTAGAGGAACAAATATTGGAAGACGTTGCTAATAATCCTTCAAATAGCATAAGGAAGCTTGCGGCGCAAAACAATGTTACAAAATGGGCTGTACATGAAACTCTGAAAGAACAATTGCTTTACCCGTACCACATCCAAAAAGTACATGCTATGTCTCCAGATGATTATCCAAAAAGACTTCAATACGCCAATTGGTTTTTACAGCATCATATTCGGAATCATAATTTTGGTACATCTATTTTGTTCACCGATGAAGCAGGTTTTACAAGAGACGGCATAATTAATTCGCATAATCTACATGTCTGGGATGAAGAAAACCCTCACGCTTTAGTTCAAACTCGCTACCAACAAAGGTTTATGGTGAATGTGTGGGCTGGCATTATCGGGAATCATTTGATTGGTCCATTTATTCTGGAGCAAAGACTTAATGGTGCTCTTTATTTGCAATTTTTAGAGGAAAATCTAAATATTTTGTTAGAAGAAGTGCCCCTTCAAATAAGAACTGAAATGTGGTACATGCATGACGGTGCACCACCCCACTTTGATCGTTTAGTACGTCAACATCTGACGAATGTTTTTGGTGATCGATGGATAGGTCGAGGCGGACCTGTATTATGGCCACCTAGGTCGCCCGACCTAAACCCATTAGACTTTTTTCTGTGGGGTCATTTAAAAAATAACGTTTATTCAACACCCGTAAATAGTAGAGAGGAACTTCTGCTGAGGCTAACACAGAACTGTGACCATCTCCGCAATAATCACGGAATATTATTTCAAGTGCACCGGGAAAACATTCGTAGGATTAGAAAGTGCATTGAAGTACGGGGTGCTCATTTTGAACATCTACCGAAGTAACATTTAGGTACCTTTGTTCATTGTTGAATGTTCTTTGTTGCATGTCTTGTAAGTAAGTTATTTTTCAAATGTTATTTTTAATTGGTCACTACTTGCTCATAAAGTATAGCCAACCCGTTCAAAGATTTCTGGACTTGATAAAGTTAAAGAAATTAAATGCATGAAATAATATGTAAAAAAAATAAATTTTAATTGTTGTATTTGTTACCAATTTTTTTCAAAACCGATTTATCTCGCAAACCGTTCATTTTTTCGAAATAAATAAAGAGTACCATTTTTAAAGAAAAACCTTCAGAGTATCTAATAATAATATTTTCAGTTTGATAAAATTACTTCTGTCAAAATTTTGAGAAAAATTGTGATAGGGCCAGTCCGTTTCTGGACACCTGATAATAGCAAAAAGTTGATTTTAGCATCAAATCGTAGAGCTCCATGTGTAATACAACGTACGAAAATTTTATTAAAATATACAGGGTGGTTTCAAAGTTATAACCCTAAACGTTAATTTCTAGGTACCTCTTTGACCCCCCATAACTCCGATAGGTGGCACATTAGGAAAAAAATTATAGGAAGGACTAGTTTTATTTTGACCTCCCCTATACACTCCCGAGAGATTAGGAGGTACTTACCGGACACCCTGTATATTACTGTATGGAGGCTGGAAGTCATCAACACTTAATTGGCTAACATGAAGTTATTTGTAAATAAATTTATGAAAAGTAGTTTTTTTATTCTGTATCTTCGAAAAAGTAAACACGGTTGTGTAGAGAATTAGAATTCTTTTCAAATGATGTGTCACTCTTTCCCTATTTAAATTTTTTGAGGGTTGTCATGGGAGGGTAGAGTCTGTAACAAGAAATTTATATGAATAAATGTTTTTCAAAAATATAATTTTCCTGAAAGTTATTCGTTCTGTTTTGTATTATATTGTACTGGAATATACAGAAACAGAAAATAAGTAACAAATTTGATAAAACGATAAAATTTAATACACAGAAAGTTAAATCTATAAAAAAAAATCGCTTGCACATGAATAAAATGAGCTAAAATAATACTTGCACATGCATAATAATATAATAAGAAAGTTTATTTTGAAAAAAAAATTAAATTACAATTTTGACAGCTAGCGATGAATATAAAAAAATACTAATTTTGTAAATAAAAAGGATATTAACTGGAAATTTTGTTCAGACGTGAAAAAAAAAACACATAAGCTCCATTCCACAAGATAGAATTTAATTTTTGCAAGATTTGGACAAAAATCGCATCACCGAACAATTTCCAAAATTTCGTAACATAGAATGTAATAACCAGAACTTCCATTAAAAAAGAAAAAACTGGTTATTCAGTAGACCGTTTGAGCAAATACTAAATTAGTATCTAAAAAAATAGAGAGAAAATGAATTTTACCGACAGTGACATAAAAAACTATAACATTTTTTAAATAAATGAACGGAATTTGGAAAGATAGTTGCAAGATTTGTAAAAAAGTATTTACTAGGACGTATTTATGTAAGAAAAATAGTTGTAAAAGTGTTTGTTAGTAAGATGTGAAAGTTCTCAGTACAAAGATAAACTTGTAAAAGCTTCATAAAGTGTGTCTTCAAAAGAGAGCTGAAATAAGGAAAGGGAAATATTGCTACATTTAAAGACAGTAGATAGATCTACAATTTCCTATAAAAAGTTTCCTACAGTATGGAACTTCTAAAACATTTCCAGGCAAGTCTCTGATAGTCATTTGTTTGGCATTATATCTATATAAGGACTGCCAAAATTGCTAAGTATCAGCCGAGTTTCAATCGAGTTGGAGCCGTGTAAAATGAAACGTTACTCTAAAGCAGTAAGTCAGTTAATTTGATTGAACTAAAAAAAATAACCTTAAAACTTCAAGGTAGTGAATCTAAAAAAAAAAATAATAATTAAGCACAGAAGGTAAAAAATAAAGAAGTTTTACCAGAGATATCCAGTAGAAGCTGTAAAGAAATTTATTTGTTTATTTAGCTGTCAAAAATAAAAGTGGAACTCGTAAACAAACCAGATTAGGCAACTTTCAATACGTCATCACGAAGTGTAGGTTGTCGGTTTACCTACATTGCAAGATAACTTAATTCATGGTACCCAGGACATCAAGGAAAGACTAGGGAAAAGCAAGATACCCAGTGGCTCAAAAAAAATATAACTAACTCAAATTGGGGATTAATTAATGGGGTAAGTTAAAATAAGAATTTATATTTAATATACGATTTAGCCAAAGGTTAGAGAAAATAGTTTTTTGATTTGATAATTCAAGATGTTCCAGATTGTTTTCTTCAAATAAAATTATAACTATAAATAATCGATTTGTAAATTTAAAATACATGGCCATAATATCAGGTATAAAGTTATAAATATAAAAAATAAAAAATAAATTCAAGAGTGAAAATTAGATTCAACAATATCATATAGTTTTTTTTTTCTGTAAGAAAATTCGCTTCTGAAGAAGAGTTTACGAGAATAAGCAAAACAAGGTAGGTACCATAAATATATATTTTAGCTTTATTAACGTTATAAATTTTCAAATTAACAGTATTCTGTACTTTCCAAAACAATATATACAGGATGTATATTTCATTAAGGGTCATATTTACAAGGAAGCTACCTTTAATCTTTAGAAACA